CACTATCGGCAAATGCAACGGTAATATGCTCAAAGCTCACAAAATAGCTAGCTGGGTAGTTGACTGAACTGCATCATTTTGTCCATTGTACTTGTTAACAGTAGTTTTATGCTGAGATACGCAGAACTGCCTTAAATACGATGGCTGAACACAGTATTTTGCATCTAAGATCTCAGTAGCTTGGATCACGAACCGTTCTGGTTGTTTGAAAACGGTCACTCTCCGCTGTGGAAACCTCTCTCCTTTGCGGCTGAACTGGGTGGCACAAATGAGGTTGTACACCTTCGCCACTCTCTCAAACGCCGGGTGTCTACCACTTATACTTTCTACAAACAGGACTGGGAGGACCTTAGTTGGTAGGAAAGGCTCCCCGGCGAGTGATCTCAAAATAACCCAAAGTGATGGTTCACACGCAACTCTTAAACTTACGGCTTGGAGTGTTCGTACAGTTACACATCAGTTGTCTACCCTAGTGGACCTCAGTAGGATCTGAGCAAGGGGCATCTGTGGGCTCTCACATTCCCTGCATCCGGCACAGACCACTTTGTCGAGTCTGCTGGCTGTCAACTCCTGTCTTTCGGAGCACCGAACAACTTTCACGCAAGCACAGTCTGTGGCCCAGTATGCCATCAGCGTGGGCACTGGTTTCTGTAAAAGAGGGCGCAGAACCTGTGGTGACTTCAAACAACGGCTCCATTTTATGTTCGGGCCTGCACTACTCTTCGCGTGTATGATTATGGCCGGGCTGGAAGCTGACAGATACAGGAAAAAGCGGAAATTGTCAGTAGGGCCAAAGGGATTACGTCAGCTTCATCGTTCCTGGCAAGATTGGTTTACTTCTGCTTATGACACTGGCGATCTTCCAGTATTAGCAGTCACAAAAGTGTCTTGTATCTCGACGAGCAACGATAAACGCATTCACGTTGACATGGATGGTTTCAGAAACGCACAACTTGTGCAGGTTCAGAATCTTTTTGGCAGCACCAGTCACACTGAAGTCTGGACAGTATGGCAATCATCCGACGAGAGCACCAGGGCGAAAAAAAGAAATGCGGCGACTACTGTCTGGAGTATTATGGCTTAAGAATTTAAGTCCCGTGATGTCCTACATTAAGCAGAAGCTTTTGGAGGACATCATCAAGACAGTGGTCTCTGAGGTCATTCCCTTGATGGCAATAACCTCCAAGATGCTGACTGGTTGGGATAAACGACGTGCAAATCATGCTTTGTAGGCCAAGAGGATGGCAGTGCAAAAGTTCAGGACATCGATAAAAGCACTCTACTACAGTGCATAGTGCGTGCATAGATTTAAGGAGTCGATGTGAATTAGGCCACGGGGGTAAGAAGGTGGTTCCAGATAAACAACGCCTATCTCTGTGTCCGAGTGGGGAGCACTTTATGAAAGAAGACTGCTGGAACTTTTAAAGCCACGTGCGGCAAAGAATTCGGCTATCTGCCAGCTGAGTGCATCAGAAACCTCAAAAGCCGCCTGTGTTACAAGCCGCAGCTTCTCCAGTGAAGGAAACTGACAAAGTACCAAGCGTACCGGCGTGTAGTGCTACGACCAGCAATGTGCACGGTGGCAATGTCTGAAGTGTGACCATACCAGTGGGGGGTTGACGAGGAAGAGCGTAGTGCATCAAACCCAGAAAATAGATGCCTTCCACCACCAAACCTGAAGAAAGACCAAAAGCTCTGAGAGAGCATCCATGGCCAGAAAGCCGGGCAGTTAGAAAAAGCTTTATGTATTTCAGGTGTGCCATGGACTGGTTTTGGGGAGCGAACTTGTATCGCAAGAGATATTCATCCCTCTCCAAACCTAACTCAGCCCTCCCTGACCTCTGATGTTGTTGTAGATACGACTCAATCTTTCACCACTCTACAGCGAGTTGCCCACTTCTTTCATCTGTTTAGTTTTTTATCCCTCTGGCCGACATTTCATTTCTAAAACGCTTACGTGGCACACTTATCTTCTTCCTTTCCACCTTGATTCGGACATCTCTGCGTCAGTCACCACCCTAAAACATTTATCACGTGTTCCATCAAGACTACATACCACTAAACTCTTTCCCTGCTGTTTGAAATTTACTGACCGTTGAAGTAGCCATATAATTATCTCCTAACACCTTCAAAGTAAAGTTCGCAGCTGCACAGTAAAAGAATCGAAACTTGTTCCTTTCGCATATCTTCAAACTGCTGGTATAATTTTCCCTAAGTTCTGAACATGCCTGGCGGATTCTGTTATCTTACTCGTATATTTAAACTAGTTTCTCTCATGTTATAATTTATCTATCAGTCACACTGTATTGATCATTTACCGTCTTTAGTACCTCTGTTTTGCGTACTACTATTTTGGTGCAGCATTGATACATGTTACTTGAAGCAACTATCAATATATTCATGGCTGTTGTTTGGTGATGGCAAGGCACACTTCCCAGTACCGCTATCCATCTCATTCTTCAGCTGCTTACTGGGCAAGTGACTTTCAGAGGACTAGATCTACTGCATCTAAATTGAAGGGAAACCGTAAGACATGGTTTGATTTTCCATGTAAAGTTTTAAAGGTGTGAGGTACAAGGAGTTAAAAGTGTTTGAATAATAAGCCGAAAATACAAATTAAATAAGTAGGGAGTGGGAAACTGAAATTTCCATGAATCTACGATTTTGGACTGTGCAGTTTCAGTGGAAGAGGAAGCCTTTTTATCTTTCATGCATAACTCTGAAAATGGTGACTTTTGACTTGAGGGGCCTTGATCAAGCATATTCTGGAAAGGACAGAATTACTGATTGGAGAATTGAATATACTGCACCAGATGTCATTATATTTTTAGGTCGAGAGTGAAGGTGGAGGTTACTTGAATTAAGATGGATGAGCACGAGAACAGTAATAATTGCACAAAGAAGTTAAGGAGGAGGGAAGAATTGTGAAACAGCTTGTCTATGTAGCGATGGTTGCTGATCATTCCCAAGGAGTTTCCACTACATTGGCAAAAGCTGTACCATTATAACTTGCTTTGCGGAAGGTCCAAACTAGTTAAACCTTCATGGACTGGAGACTGCGAAACTTTTGTCGCCGCCTACGATACACAACTAAAAATTCAGTTGTTCGAGCAAATTGCCAGCTGCCAAAGTAACTTCCGCACTGCTTAATGAAGATGTGCGTGGAATAACGGTAACTCCTGCTACGGCCGCCTTAAGATTATCGGAGTCATTGGGAGGCGATGACATTTGGATTGGAACAATGTATCGGTGCCTAATATTATCTGCCCTGCAGCCTGTTTCAAAAAGCATTGGACAAAGGCAGGACACCATATGAGTTGAAATGTGCTGTCCCCTCTCACATTTTAGGGCGAAATCCGAAATGTTGTCAACATAATCACCTCAACCGGCACTGCCGAGGTTGATGATGAGCCCGGTGGTCGGATATGTCAGGGATTACGTAGACAAAAGGGAGACATCATGTGATAGCGAATGTGGTTTTCCAAATGAGGGGTCCTGGCCATCAAACCTAGCAGCCAGGGATAACTGTACCGCACACCGGGACCTCCAGGCCTCTATTCACACGCCTGCATTTCACCAAGGCCTTTGACGTAGTCTCACGCGCCATTTTAAAGAGCGAAGTGACAAGGTTGGTGATTACTGATCACGTGCTATCCTGGTTGTAGGATTACTCAGACGTCAAGGAATTGTGTCAAAATGTCGACTGGGTCCCCCTAGACTCGGAGGACAGGGGCTGGTGTGTGACGAAGAGCGGTTCTGGGCTGGCTGCTGTTCATTCTTTTTGTAAATTACCTTCCTTGATTTTTAGCTTCCCGATTTTACTCGACGCTGACGATGTTAAGTCGCGGAGGGCCGTGACACCCAAAACAGAATCAAGCACAATACAAAGTGACCTCAGATTTCTTGCAGAAACAGCGAATAACAATGCAATAGCACCTAACCTGGATGAATGCCGAACCATGTCCCACCGCACTCCCGACTCTCAAAAAGTACGCAACCCCCTCTGTGTGTTGCGCACCCTCTCATAAGACCACATTGCAAGATCTGTGAGTAATACTCGCTGTGAAGCCAGACACAATCTCCAATTATACTGGGGATACCTACACGATACTAGTTTCCATGCGCAGACAACTAGGTGCCATCGTGGTGGAACACTTTCCGAAGCTCCACAGAATCTATATGCCACCTCACCTTGAGGTCCACAACATCATTGCATAACCATATCTGAAAAACGACGCGCGCCTCCTGGAAAGTCTTGAGGTGTGATGCGAAGGCTATACTGGGAATGATAAAAAATCCAATGATGATAAACTGCAGAATCTGGTTGCTCAACTAGTTACCGTAGATTACGTGGCAACTTTGCGACGGTATAAAAAAATACTGAGCAATTCAAGTCACGTGAATAGTGGAGGCCTAAAAGACAGCCACAGTGGCAATCGTCGTGGTAACAAAAAGGCAGCTGCACATCAAGGGGAGATAAGCTGTGTGTTAACCTTTTTCCTCTCTACGAGTATGAGACCATTAGAATGCATTTCCTATGGAGGCTGCTACTGCTCCATCCGTCGAAAGCTTCAGGAAGAGGTAGGACAGCTACCTAGTGAAGCATGCTTTAGACCCATCTAGTTAAAAAATGGACTAGGTCAGTACCAGTAACTAATCCACTCTTTTGCTTTCACCGGACAGTCTTTTCATCCTTTCTGTTTTCTTTTTACAGTCACTACAAACAGTTGTCCGGTGAAACGAAACTTGAGGAACCCATCTGGAGCACATTCCTTGAACAAGTCATACAATCATCCACAAATCTAATCAACACCCAACCACCCATCTGGCTAACTAGAGTTACATCAGGTGAGTAAATAGACCTGCTGCATCGGAATCCACCAAACACTTGGAACCGTACAGCAAGACCCAAAAGCGAACGCGTAGAGACCAAGCAGTTTACATTAGCTACAAAGAAGATATTGGATGCTTGGCTGTTTGTTTGTTTGCACTACTTATGATTTTCTTCGCAGTGTAGGTGTAAGATTTGCTAGACAGTATGCATTAACGCTGTCTGTTTGTGCCTCAGCTTTATTGAGTGAAAAAAGAGTAAATGGATGAAAATTTCCTGAAAAGAATGATTTCGTTCGAGAAAATGATGGCACAGTCATCGACTCAGTTTTGATGCACAAAGCGACTCCAGAATATCTCCAGGAACTCCTCAAAGACAAGAGACAGCTACAGAATTTTCCGAACATTTTTCTACATTTAGAATTTATTTTGGAGAAGGGTAAATATTATATTCTTCACTTTTGATATTTTTAAGAAGAAGTTATTAGATGATATCCTTTTTAGGTGGTGCGGAGGTAATGTCAGAACTAACAGACTTTTAGTATAGATCACAAATCCGTATCTGCATCCTAACATTTATGACTTTCAGTTTCTTAATAGTCCCCTTCTGTTTGAAGCGTTCATTGAAATAGCCTTATCTTCACAATTTACTTCTCAAACCACACGTTGCTTCAGCTTGTCGTTAATATATAGAGAAGTGTATTAATTTTGTTCATATATTGAAGATAGCATGTAAAACCTGTTACTCAAACAAACAATAATACATCATTTGTGCTTTTAACTAGAACCTAATTCGGTATTTAACGTTACACTCTGTATGACTAAAAGTTTTGGCTAGTATAATTTGTTGGAGGGTCTTGAGATACTAATCTAAAAACAAGCTTGATTTATGATAATGCACCTAATCTAATATATTTTGGAGATATTCCAGTAACAAAAGTTCCTAGCTTTAATTTCATGGGATCAATAATGAGGGTAAACTCACAATAATAATAGTAATAACTGTTTTGAGTGTTAAAGCAGATCCTATGTGCTTTGTACGTTTTTTATATGCTCCAAAACTACTGTTTTGTATTTTATTTTTGCAGAAATAACACGTGTTAGGCAAAAGCTTTTCCATTTAAACGAGTCGGTAAAGAAGACCGAAAATGAACTCCCACTTCCCTCTGGCAATATTGTGTCATTACAGGAGAAAGTCTTTGTTCCGGTAAAAGAAAATCCTAACGTAGGTCCTTTGTAATAACTTCAGACGCAATGTATTTAGTATAACTTTGTTGGACGTCTTCTGGGTCCGAGAGGTTTGACTGCGAAGCAACTTGAGCAGGATTTGGAGTGCAAAATCATGGTGAGAGGGAAAGGTTCACTGAGGGATAAACGCAAGGTAATCATTTGATGGAATAAAATAGTTCTTATGACTTTATGTATAACTTCTCTGCCTTACTATTTATAAAAAGTGGCTACCTTGCTATTTGAAAACCGTTGGTCAGTCTTTTCCTCCTCTCCCATTTTAGCTAATAAGTGGCCAATGGCAGAAAGTAATATAAAATATTTTGGTAATTCCTAGTGTAAAGGCCTCACAAAGTTACAGAAAGGTTGGTGTTCTGTAGCTTGCAGCATCATCAGTATGTATGTAGATTTGATTTAAAAGTGAACACGTAGAGTGCAAGTTTTTGAGTTTAGTTTTATGCGTAATTAGCACAGAATCTCAGTAGATTTTAGTAAAACTAGTTTTTTGGTCACTTAGGTGTCGGAAACACATTGTTATAAAATTTAGTTGTTTTTTATAAGGATGTAAAAAGCCGAAACAATGCATCATCATCACATTGACAGCAGCAGACCACGACATTTAAGCGCCAGAGAGCTCCACCAAAACATGGTGCAGAATTTAATAATAAGCACACCACAGAAAGTTAAACGTTCAAATGTGATATACATAAATATTTTTATTCTAAAATTTGATGTGGTTTTCTTTGGATTTGGAAGCGATTCGTTTTAAGTTTTCATACAAGTACTGCATCCTGTTTTTCAATTCGTTATCTGCCCAATAAATGTGTACTAAAGATATCCATCAAGACATGAAAGTAGAAAAAGTTTATCTATGCACAGCTCTAGGATCAAAAAATGCTCTCTTTTCTCAGGGATTTATGTATTATTTATTAGTTTTAGTTGTCCGTCAGGCATAATGACGCACCAAAAATAAAGTCAGTGCACAAGGCTTCATTATCACCATGTAGTATTTAGACATTTTTGCTCTTGGTTGGTCGGTTGAAGAATCGGCAGCAGTTTCTTCCGATTGCAACAGTCAAAGGGCACTGAGGTGGTAAGTCTCTTAGGTGAATGACTTTATTGCAAAATGATCGGCAGAATCCTGTGAGTGCTTGGAACTAAACGTAATAAAACTGGCAACTCTTCAGTCACTAGTCTCTTTAGACTATTATTAACGTACAACAGACATTGAAATATGGAGGAAAGCTGCTTGAAGATTACTACCGTGGAATTAAAAGTTGTTCATAATGACCGAATGCAGAAAAAATTCAAGAGTAATCGGGAGCGCAGAGACAAGAGTGAGCAGCAAGCTATATAAAATGGATAAAGCCAAAGAAACGGATAATTTTAAAAGCTGTAAGATATAATAATGTCAGTACAAGGATTCTCCACACAGATGACAAATGCTTTTACGATAAAAAGAGTGAGGAAATACCGCACTTGTATGTATTTTTGCAAAATAAACAATTTTGTATGGGGTAATTTCCCAGATATTTTAGGTAATGTTGATGGCATGTTTATTTGTAGCGGTTTTTATCGATTCACTGTTACCGTCTGGTAACAGTGGGATCCTGAATCTTAATGGATCGAAAGTGCATCGAACATCTCACATCCTTGACTTAACATTAACCACAAATTGGTTTGCGCATACAAAAGTGGTTAGATGCAGTATTTTGATCTTCAGGTTAACAGGAAAGACTTCGCAGTAGACGAGTATTAATCTCAATGTTAACGCAAGGAATGGCTTTCTAAAAGAGTTGAATATACTCCCATTTTTTGTTAGCTGAATCAATTTTGAAGTCTAGATACGAATAAAGTACTTTAGTACATAGTCAACGTTCATATTGTTGCGTTTAGGCTTTATATTTAGGGATTTTTTTCCAGTAAAGGTTTTCTTAAGCGAAAAACGTCTTCTTCTAGCATAAGGGAGCAGTACATTGTTTTTGCTACCTGCAGGTACTTAGAAATGGAAGTTTATCAGCTGAGAATTCAGTCAGTCTCCTTTACATCCAGTCAGCTTTTTACGTCAAGCCTACAGGGAGAAGAAAATCTTCGATCCATTTCCCATCTCAGGGGTGAATCTCATGGTTGAATGGCTCTTATGGAATAAATGTGAAATGTTATTCATGTTATGGTGACTATCAGGGTTGACTAAAATACTTTTCTCTCAGGTTGAAAGTTATCATGGACTGACATCACTTAAAGGGATTTAGAAACCTGGGAGCACTGCACAGCTGTTTCTTCCTAGCATGGGAACATTTAGTAGCGCACATTCATTCCCGCGCTATGGATCGAGCCCAGGACCCTCAGGTTCCTTGGCCAGCACGTTAACATTAAGCCACTGAGTTGGAATCCACCGGTCCATGTTTCCTACCTCTGTCCGTTCACAATATAGCGCGACCTACACCCAATGTCGTCGTTGAGTAACTGTCTTCATGTTCGACTTGGTTGACTCCACTGGTCACGATTTCTTACTAGAACTTTGGGAATCACCTCTCGAATGGTTCATTCTAGAGACTGACCTTTAAACAGTAAGTTCGTATCCACAATAATTTGTGAGCGATTTCTGTCAAATTTTCGGATAGTTTATACAATTCATAGCAATTTATCTATTTCATGATGACAATGACAACCTGTGGAGTGACTTCTCGTGCGTTGCTGCTTGACAAATCAGTAATAACTATAGAATAATACGAAAACATTCAAGAGAAATTTATGGGGTTTTGCTTGTACAGCTCCGAGGATGAAATCGTGGAAAAGAGTTTTTCAGCTGAAAAATGTGTGTATTTAGACTTCATGATGTGGCTTTTCTAACCCCTTATTACTTTGGCATATTAAGTGATTGTCTATCCCTTCTAAGATTATTTTTGACCACAGTTCGAGACAAATCCTATTTATCAGCTGGATATCGTTCTCTTAGGTTCGAACAATGTTTTAATGTACATATTTCCATGGTGAATTCACCAAAAGTGAGTTTGTTCCCTAGAATTTCTGTCTGTGTTTGAATTTGAGTAAACTGATAGGTTTCTTAGCTACTTCTTTGCTAGGCCTGTGTATAATTAGAAGATACGCAAAAATGTTGCTAACTCGGTGCACATAACAAGCGCATAAACTGGGTACATGTGTGAAGCTCACTAAACGCTCACGTCGACTACGCTATGCATTTACTTAAATGTGTATTCATATAATAAAGCCATAGAATTTTGTGCTGAATGTACTTTGTTGGTTCATTTACTCCTTTTCGTAGTCCCAGTATTGGTGGAACTCGTTATAAAAGCTAATTAACCTCTTAAATCTGATTATTACAATGCACACATATAGTTTTATCTAAGATCCTTATTAGTTTGTTTGATAAACTAATGTTTATGCATTCCATCGTTCCTTTCATAGTTGGTTATTCTCCGCATTACTTGTCTATCATATATAAATAAATGTATGGGTACAGATGTGTCAGACGTATTTAAACTCCGAAGTGTTACTGGCTTTTTCAATAGAATGTCCTTTTGGAAGACAGTTACAATTAAGTAAAAAATTTACCTTTCTCATAGGGTGAAAGTATGAAAAGACGTGTGTGAATATCATCAATTTACCCTAACGTATATCTTTTTATCATAATTTAAATCTTTTATTCCCCTTAGAATGTTCAAATACTTTTACGAATTCTTCGTTCTCAGTTAAAAACCCCAATTTTAACAATAAGGATTCTGATACCGCTGATCCAGTTATTTAAAACTGTGATATGTAATTCTTAAGCTGGGTTAATAATTTACTTATCTAAATTTCAACAATTCTTTGTTTTCTTACCATATTCGAAAACATATGCGCAAAACAATTGTGTAGGAGGATTTGAACAGGGGCAAACCGAACTGGGAACATCTGGACGAGGAGCTTCATGTCCTAGTAAGTGTGGAGGACTTTGAAAGTCGTGCAGCAATAAAGCTCAGGAGAGCATCCGAAACAATTCGTGCATTTCTCGAGCAAGGAGTACGAACGGTGAGTGAAGTACTTAATAGTAATTTGCTAATGAGTTCTTTAGTCAGACGGAAATTTTTTTATGTCAAACACCATGAAAAAGCGAAATTCTAGTTGAGGTTGGGCCTGATATATATTTTCAAGTGGAGCCGCTGTATTGTGACTTGGTTGATTTTCTCAAACATTCTAAGCCGTGCTAAGTAGTTTTTCAGCCTGCCCAAAACTGCTAGAGAATTAGTTTTATTTTTTCGACGATCGTATAGTTAACAATAGTCATTCTTCTGCGCATCTGAATTTTGTAATCAAGTTAGTGTTGTGAAGAGGTTTCAGTAATAGGCAGCATTGCATGAGTTTATCTCTGCTAGGGTTTTTGTATAAAATCTGACTTGCACAAAAGATTTTCATTAAAGGATGCAGGTGAATCAATTTCTGAAACTCGTATTAAATCTATTGTATACTCTTGCTTTCCTGTAAATATGCCTACATTTCCTTTAACTTTATTAGGCTCCTAAGATTTAACATTATTAATTTCGAAATGTACATTGATATTGAGATGTTTCGGGGGTGTTTTCTAACTAAATATACATTTATACCAACCGGTTAGATGTAAAGTTTGTGAATTCCGGCTTCAAAATTTTGACAATATTATTTCAAATATTTTATGAGCTGAGGCAGTTTTATAGTATTTTAAACAAATAAGTCAAGTAGTTTCCAAAAAAATGAAACTGGATGTATTGAATATCTTATGATTCTTGTGAAGTTGGTAGGCATTTCAGAATGAAAAAACTGTTGATAAAGCCGTCGTATTTGTCTTTCTGGTACACAGCGTTAGAAACTTTGGCCAAAAATGTACCTGCACAACATAAATATGACTCATGATGCTGGATATAGTGTAGAAATACAAATAAGTACGAAGTTTGTTACTTCTTAAATCTTCAGCAGTCTAGAAAGGTTTTCAGATTTTCATACATAGAAGCGGATAGTCAAAAGATGGGGTAGTTGGTAATACCGACTGAAATCTTATAGTATGAAGACTTTGGTCTTCTAAAGTTTCTTGATCCACTTTAACCATTGCCGGTTATATATGAGTGAGCTCCTTTTAGCTGCGACAGTAAATCCTCATTAAAGAAGTTGTTTCAAAAATGTAGGTCAGAATTCTACTTTATAACTCTAATTTATAAATGTTAATAATTAAAAGTATGGTCACTTAATTTGGTTGGTTTTTATTATCTTACCACTTTATGGTGTTTGCTAGAATGTCTTTTGATTGAATTTGAAATTATCACAGCGTAAGTCTACATTTAGCTGTAGGCTGGGATAATAATAAAAACAATCACTTATACTGACTTAATTTGAGAAACTTTAGCTGCCTAAAATGATTGGTTTACTTGCACTTAACCAGTTACTCCAATAAGGTTATGAATGGAATAAGTCTGATTATTAAAACTATGCCTTTTCATTAGTTCCTCGCACTCAATTTTCATTGACATTTTCTGTTTTACCAGCTTTCTGCAGGCTGAAATATTCGAAGTTTTATTTTTCTTCGCGAACTAAAAACACCTGCTAGACTTAAGCAACGAATCTGATTGTAAAAGGAGATGTGACAACTATCTCTTAACAATGTTTACTGATAAAATGGTCTTATGTTTTAGGTGAGGCCTAAACACTTTAGGTAGAAGAAACTGTTGAACTTGGCATCTGCAAAGCATTTTTACCTTGAAGTCTTAAAGCAGTTTATGAATAAGTCTTAGGCAGAATATCATAACCAGGGTTTCCATTAGCATTGAAAATATGTGCTTATTTCTGAAAATGCCATACTTTCAAAACAATTTTCTATATATCTATGCTTTTATGCATACGAGTATTTTCTTTTTAAAGAAACTACTGAACTTGCTTACACTCAATGTTTACCATTTTACTTTGCAATTATTCATTATGTAGCCTACCACAACATGTTCTAACTGATATTTGAATGCTTGCCCGTTTGTATTCCACTATTCTCGACGCCTGTGTTCAGTGAAAAAGAAACGTTTTATTTGTAGGGTTTTTATAGCAGTGTAAAAACTCGAATGAAAAAGTTGAAGAATACTTGAAAAATATGAAAAGGAAATTGTTTCTGATTTGTGAAATCTGGAAATCTTTTACTTTATTGTCAAGTTTGCATCAGGCAAGTGGTTATCGAAGGTTGAACAGAACTAAATATGGGTTTTTGCCACTGTTATCAACTTGACTGAAGCACACATTTTATTCCAAGGAAGACTTCAGTAACTTATGAGGCAAAAAGTATGATGCTATTGAGATAAAAAACCAGATTACAAGGGATGGTATCGATGATTGGGATAAAACTGGCTGTATAGAATTTAATTTGGAGAAGCTATAATAACATCCATATTTTTACTTGTATTTACACAAACACGAAATAAAAGTAGTGATAAATTGTAGCTTTTTTCGATTACAGTTCATGACTAACTACTTCTGAAACCACCAAGTTATGCCTAACTGTTCATTCTGGCCATGAAATTTCAATGAATTAGTAGCTGATGTTTCAAAGTAGCTATCCTTCACTGAATACTGCCATCTAATATGCTAACTTCATTTCCAGGTTTATTGACTAGTTTTAAAGACACTTAAGTATAGTCGAATGCATATCATCAGAACATTAAGTTTATAGTGCATCTAATTACCACAGTCTGTGTGAAAAGGTAACTTAACCACTTCAGTAATAACCTCAGTCTCATACAGAAATATCCTTTTCAGACTCAGTGTTTACTGAATGTTCGTAAAAAGATGAGCAGTGCTAAAACACAATGATTGGTTAACATATATATGTTGAAGGTAACAAAGTTCAGGAGATGTACGGTCACAGCCACACTGTACATTAAGTTTCTTTACGAGCATAAAAAAGTTTCTGTCGTATCAAAAATGGGACAGGCTTACATACGTCACTTTAAGACCTAATGGGTACAGACGGATTCTTTCTGTCAAATGTTTACTGGTACACCTTAAAATTCGGACACTGGTTTTATGTGATCCAAAGTAGAAGATAATCATCAGTATAACCTTGAACTGACTTTCCGAAAATTATTCACGGTATTCTGAATTGAAGCAAATGAAGAACATTTCTATAATGGTTGTTAGCAAGCCAATCACAATCCAAATATTTGAATGCTCTTGCACAGTAAGACAAAATGTTTTGGATACCGAATGTTGGAGATGGGTTCCTTCGGAAACCAATTCGTATGCTTGCTGTTTGTTGCCTAAAGAGTTGTTTCAACAATCTTACTGGTAGCTCTTCTGCTTATCGTGACAGTATTAGCCCTGTGTCATCCAGACATCATAAGACAGAAGATTTTGAAGAAGTTAAGTAGCTGCAGTTCTCAGGTTTCTTTACATTTGTCAATTTCACTTTATTTTTGCTCATGTGATTTTGTGACATAGTTAGCCTTCAAAAACGATACTGAGAAGGAGTTGAAATACTGAGTAACTTCTCAGTAATTTTGTTTCTTTGGCCTACTTTTCAGTATTTTCGAAGTGAAAAGGATTCGCGTAGAATTTCAGGATATAGTTATTATATCATTCGGCATTTTGAATGCAGATATCAACAGACTGTGTATGAAGTTGCCTAGAAGTTTCTTACTGAAATGTGTTTCGTCTATAGTTATGGAAATTAAGCGATAATACATAGATGTACTTAACCGCTATGGTGGTCTCGGCCTGATGTGCTAGGAAGCTAAGACATATTTGAAGAGATTGAGTGAAGAAATGATTTAGTTTGGGTTCAAAAGGAAGGCGTTTTAAAACCAGGTTGTTTTCAAAATGTAATCAAATTCAGTGAATGCCACCACTTCCTTTGGAGCTCAGGCTACTTAAACAATAACTCCATTTTTTTCAATCTCCACTTCATTATTGGTTGTACGTTCACTTATCATCAGTACGTGGTTATCATGGTGAATTCGATTTATCTGCTTACTGTAAGGAACATTGTGCCTTTTGATGCAATGATACTTATTCTTCAAACATAACTATCAGTATGTACGTGCATCCAGAAGTGACATTTTACTTATAGCTTAACCCTTATGTCTCATTTAACTGTTGTTTTGCCTAATTCACGAGTCTAAAAGTAGTCTGCAAACTTTGTTACCCAGACAGTTTAAGCATCAAAGCTCATTTCAAAAATATAAATAAAGCGGAAATTCTGAAAAATAGCTACCATTACATTGAAAATGAATAACTGGATGCAGGGATACCTAAGTTGTGAGGATATTTGCGTTCGTTATTATAATAGTTGCCTATATTGAGTTGCTTTACAAGTTAGAGATGAATGGCAGGTTTAAAGACTTTTACACAAAGATTGATACTTTATCCCCTACGTTAATAGGAAAAGTATTGATATTTTTGCCATATTTTAAACTAGAAAGCGTAGGGGTTGTAAGACTATTAGCAGAATGAAAAGTACTAGACGCCAGATGACAGCCAGAAGGAAACCTTGGGTCAAAGTTTTGTGTATGCTTATTGGGCGTATTTAGAACCTTGAAGGAAGTGACATTCCTTTGAAGATTTAAACTTGGGTCACTTGGTTTTGAAGTCGAAAACTCCCCTCTATAGTCACTCAAGCATGTTAGGTTGCATATTCTTCATGAGCATCGATCAAGGAATAGTGACCGAAATAGTCCTGATCGAAGCGCAGCACTAAACGATCCAACCAGTTTTTTTTATCTTTTCATAATATTGTTGTAATATTGTAATATTCATATCTAAACCGAAGGATTTTTTGACTTCCTTTTGAAGTGCTACCCTGCAAGGCAACAGTGGTATTCATTCTTAGTTGGTGTGTATTCCTTAGTGTAAGGACTTCTAGTGACTTCCTCGGGGTTACTCAAATGATTTTTCGACAAAATAAATGGCTCAGGGCATTACTGAAACTGCAGAGTTTAACACAATAATTCTAAGTCATTGGGAACGTCTTATAATATGCAGTTTACTTCCACCTGTAGAAGTCATAAAAAAGGTTGTTCGCATGA